TCCCCTTAGGAGGGCAATCTTGCCTAAACAATGCATTCCTTGCTAATAATTTCCTTCCTTCATGGAGTACCTGGGGAGCTCAGGTCATGACTTCAGAGTCCTGGGATCAAGCCCCATGTGGGGCTCCCCACTCAGTGAGGAATCTACTTGAGGATTCTCCCTCTCTCTCCTTCTCCCCCTTCCCCACCTCATGTGCTCTCTCTCAAATAAATAATTAAAATCTTTTTAAAAAAGATTTTATTAAAAAAAAAGATTTTATTTATTTATTCATGAGAGACACACAGAGACACAGGCAGAGACACAGGCAGAGGGAGAAGCAGGCTCCATGCTGGGAGCCTGAAGTGGGACTCAATCCCGGGACTCCAGGATCATGCCCTGGGCTGAAGGCAGGTGCTAAACCGCTAAGCCACCCAGGCGTCCCTAAATAAATAAAATATCAAAAAGAATAATTTCCCTCCTTCTCTCCTTTCTTCCTTTCTTCTTTCCTTCCTTCCCTCCTTTTTCCCCTATCCCTGCCTTTAAAAAAACCTTTCTTTCATTCGGCTCAGTGGAGCATCTCTCTACTTGCTAGATGGGATGCTGTTTAATTCATGAATAGATTAATAAAGCAAATTATAGATTTGCTTTAAAGCAAATAGATTAATAAAGCAAATCAAATTTAATCAGTTGAATTTTTGTTATTTAACAAGTGAAAATCAGGAAGCGGTTGGAGTGGGTAATAAAAGGAGGAAAAATAAAGAGCAAACCTGCTTTTTTTTAATATTTTATTTATTTATTCATGAGAGACACAGAGGCAGAGACACAGGCAGAGGGAGAAACAGGCTCCATGCAGCGAGCCAGATGTGGGACTCGATCCCAGCACTCCAGGATCACGCCCTGGGCTGAAGGCAGGCACTAAACCACTGAGCCACCCCAGGATCCCAGCAAACCTGATCTTACCAGTTGTGAAGCCCGAAGCAAGAGTGGAAACAGAGGCCCGCATACCATATATCTAAACATTAAAAGTTATAAATTAAATTGACATACTGTTAAATAAACTATGTGCTATTTCCCACCTTGACAAACAGACCTTCATAATGATCTGGAAGGCTAGACTTTATTTTAAAATTTCAGTGCCCAGGGGATCCCTGGGTGGCTCAGTGGTTTCGCGCCTGCCTTTGGCCCAGAGCGCGATCCTGGAGTCCCGGGATTGAGTCCCGCATCAGGCTCCCAGCATGGAGCCTGCTTCTCCCTCTGCCTGTGTCTCTGCCTCTCTCTCTCTCTATATATGTCTATCATAAATAAATAAATAAAAATAAATCTTTAAAAAAAATTTCAGTGCCCAAAACAAAAAAACAATAAAATAAAATAAAATAAAATAAAATTTCAGTGCTGTTGGAGTTTTGCACCTAGCGCATGACCTGCCACTCATCTTCTCATTCCCAGCTCCATCCTGCAATGACAAGGTCCTTGAATGAATAGGTCTGGACACCTCAGTCTGCCTATGGAGTTTCCATCTATGCTGCCCTTGGCCCAGGGTTACTCTGCAGGATAGACTCAGAAAAGAGACTGAGGCAGGCCCGACAAATGGGCTGGGGTTATTTGTGCAATAAAGTCCAAGATGCCAGGGACTCAGATTATGGGTTGAAGGATGGGGGAGAGAGAGACTAGCTGAGCAGGACCAAACTTGATTCCACGGTGTTCCTGTCCCTTTTGGAGGGAGATAGCTGGAGGAGAGTCAGAGCAGGGTCCTGCAAAGCACAAGATCTAGGGCAAGGTCTCTACTTGCACACATCTAAGGCTGGTGCTGCTAAAGAGTGAAACCACCTGGTAGCATTGGGAAAGAAACTGACAGCATGGAGAAAGTAGGCAGGACAGAGCAGAGACCTGGAACCAGCAGCCCAGCCACCTGGAGGGACCCAGGCTTAACAGGCAAGTAGGAAAGGATAGAGTCACAAGCTTTCCAACACATGGCCAGGTCAAGCGCTGGCCAAAGGAAAAACTTAATCCTTATAAAGAAACCTCACCTTTTATGTGCTCAAAACAATACCTACCACTGACACCACAAGGAGAAAGTATAAACAAGGAAGCTGAAACAATTATAAAAATACTATCAACTCTTCTGTTGGTCAGTGAACATCACTGTAAAATTGACTGCTCTCCTGCAAGAGATGTAGAACTAGAAATGTGGATTTTGTCACCAGCAAGACTCCAAGACCTGACCTTTACTGCCCACGTGTGTGTACCCATTCACTTTTGTTTTCTTTACAGCATTTTTTTTTTAAAGTAAACACTACCTGCAAGTGGGTCTAGAACTCACAATCCCAAGATCAGGACATGCACACTCTACTGACTGAGCCAGCCAGGTGCCCAATTTCCAGCTTACCTTTTTTTTTTTAAAAAAAAGATTTTATTTATTTATTCATGAGAGACACACACACACACAGAGAGAGAGAGAGAGAGAGAGAGAGAGAGAGGCAGAGGGAGAAGCAGGCTCCCTGCAGGTAACCCGATAAGGGATCCCCGGATTCAGGGTCACGCCCTGGGCCAAAAACAGATACTTAACCGCTGAGCCACCTAGGCGCCCCTCCAGCTTATCTTTTAACCCAGGCAAAAAATCCCACAGGCATAGCATCTTATGATAGAAAATAAAACTACCCTCTAAGGAATAACGACTGCCCTGACCATTCAGACCTCTTTGAGTTCAACCAAAGACTCACAACTGTGGAGATGGACCTAGTACAACAGTTATCTCTACCTCATTATAATGCTAAAATATGATGCTAAAATCTTCACCCAAGGAGGAGTTGAGCTTCATTAACATAATATACAATGTATGTACACACTTAGGGCACATTTCTTTAAGACCTATGTGTGACCTTATGCCCACCTCTACAGACAATGACAAAACTCCTCTTTCTGAATATTGAACCTAACCCTAAATAAAAAAGACCCACTCACCATTGCTAAGAGAGAGATCACATTACTTCAGCTGGAATTTCAGGCCCCATTAACATAGAGAGATTCAGCAAGTCACTTTGCATCTTTCTGATTCCTCACATATCAAATTTGGATATACTTCCCCAATTTCTATTTGAAAGAAATTTTTATGATTATTCAAAAATGTATTCCTGAGATGCCTGGGTGGCTCAGCCAGTTAAGCATCAGACTCTTGATTTCAGATCAGATCATGATCTCAGGGTCCTGGGATCTAGCACCAAGCCAAGACCCTCATCAGGCTCTGTGCTCAGCTGGGAGTCTGTTTGAGATCCTCTCCCTCTCCCTCTGCCCCTACCCCCACTTGTGTTCTTCTCTTTCTTTCCCACTCTCTGTCAGTAAATAAATAAATAAATAAATAAATAAATAAATAAATAAATAAATCTATCTTTTTTAAAACAGGGGACCCCTGGGTGGCCCAGTCAGTTAAGCATCCAACTCTTGATTTTGGCTCAGGTCATGATCTCAGGGTTGTGGGATTGAGCCCTGCACTGAGCTCCCCACTCAGCAGAGAGTGCCTGTCTCTTTCCCTCTGCTCCTCCCCCTATTCACACTCTTTCTCTGTCTCTCTCTCTCTCAAATAAATGAATAAATAAAATCTTTTTTAAAAAAGGATTCCTGGGCAGCCCGGGTGGCTCAGCAGTTTAGCGCTGCCTTCAGCCCAGGGCATGATCCTGGAGACCCAGGATCGAGTCCCACATCAGGCTCCCTGCATGGAGCCTACTTCTCCCTCTGCCTGCGTCTCTGCCTCTCTCTGCGTCTCTCATGAATAAATAAATAAAACATTTTAAAAAATGTATTCCTTTGCTGGATGTGAGTTTTCTCTTTCAAAGCTAACTGGCTGGCTCAACATAACCTCAATACAACCTTCACTAAATAGAAACAGTCAAGCTGCATCCTGCCAGATGAGCATCCAGGCAAGGAGGAACAACTGAGAGGGAAGATATGCCAGCCTTTCTTGGAAAGCAAGAGAAGCTAGCCTTTCCAAGCACCTGTCTACAAGCACCAGGGTGAATAGGGCAGGGTGCCTAGAAAGCAAACCATGACATCTCCTCTAGCAGGTGATCATTTGCACGAAGGATCTCTGTCATTTACATTTCACTTAGCTCTTAGGGACAAAAGCAGACAGGCAAGAGGTAGATTCCAAGCACTCATCATGTACAGAGTTGTGCTGGACACGTTAGGGAGCTTGCCAGTGTCTGAGAAGACTGAGGACACACATACAGAATAACAGAAGGATCCCTTACACAGTAATGTGTCCACACATGCCTGTGTGTGGAGCAATATTAATGACTGTTATTACTGAGTAAAAGAGTACCAAACTTGATAGATCTGATGCAATCAACATCAAACCCCCAGCAGGTTATTTTGAAGAAATAGACAAGATCATTTGAAAATGTATATGGAAAGGAATGCCTGGGTGGCTCAGCAGTTGAGCATCTATCTTCATCTCAGGGTGTGATCTTGGGATCCGGGGTTGAGTCCCACTTTGGGCTCCCTGTGGGAAGCCTCTCCCTCTGCCTGTGTCTCTGCTGCGCACTCTCTCTCTCTCTCTTTCTCTCTCATGAATAAGTAAAATCTTAAAAAAGAAAATGTATATGGAAAAGCAAAGGCTCTACAATAGTCAAAACAATCTTCAAAATGAACAGAGCTGGAGGACATACACTACCTGACACCAACATTTACTATAAAGCTTACAGTAACCAGGACAGTGTGGTATCAGTGGGAGGAGAGACAGATAAATTGATGGAACAGAACAGAATCCAGAAATGGATTCATACATAAATAGTTGATTTTCTTTTTTTTTTTTAATTTATGATAGTCACACAGAGAGAGAGAGAGAGAGAGAGGCAGAGACACAGGCAGAGAGAGAAAGAGGCTCCATGCCGGGAGCCCGACGTGGGACTTGATCCCGGGACTCCAGGATCGTGCCCTGGGCCAAAGGCAGGCGCGAAACCGCTGAGCCACCCAGGGATCCCCAAATTTAGCATTTTAAATTTTAGAATTTAAGATGTCAGCTTATCAAAAGACACAATTAGGAGAATAAACAAGCTGCAACCCTGGAAAAATATCTTTGCAGCCATAAAACTGAGAAAGGATTTATATCCAAGACATGTAAAGAGCTCCTACAAATTGACACTAAAAATAAAAACATTCCAATTACAAAATGGGAAAAGCCTTCAACAGACTCCTAGGACACAAAGATATACAAATGGCCAAAAAAGCAGTTGAAAAAGTGCTCAAACCATTAGTCCTCAGGGAAATGGCACCTACAACCACAGGGAAATATGATTTCATACATACGAGAACAGTTCAAATAAAAACCCGATGTTCCAGTTACCTGTTGCTGCGTATCTTATCACCCCAAAACTTCATAATGTCAACTATTATAGTCATTTTATTATTTCTCACAATTTCTTTGAGTCAAGAACTCAGGAAGGGCTTGGCTGGGTGAGACTGTGTGGCGGGCAGTGGTTTCTCCTGCTGCTGCAGACTATGGCTGGATGTGGTAAAGTGGGAACTGGAGCAGCTGGGGCATCTCCCCCCCCCCCCCCCCATCGTTTTATGGTCTTTCCATGTGGTCTAGTTTGGGCTTCTTCACAGCACGGCAGCGTCGAGGCACTCAGACTTCCTTCCAGGGGCTCAGGTCTCCAAGGCTAACAAGGATGCTGTTGCATTACATTTTATGAGCCAGCTAAGAAGCCACAGCATCACTTTCAGCACATTCCATGAGTTACAAGTGAGTCAACCAATCCACCCAGATGGAAGGGGAGTGGAATTAGACTCCATCTCTTGATGTGGAACTGGCAAGATTCTTCAAGCCCGAGGCGGGATAGGAGCTATTACTGCAGCCATTTTTGGAGAATACAATCTGTGGTGGAAAAACGTGTCGAGAAAAGCAGATCACACCAGGCCTTGGAAGACACAATAAAGTTCAGTCTTGATGGGTGTTGTGACGGGGACCTACCGCAGGGCTTGAAGCAAGAGTGAATTTAGCCAACTGTCTTTAAAAGTTCGTTGCAGCAGGTGTGTGGACAAAGAATTTGTGAGGAGGGCTTGGAAACGGGGAGACCATCATTTAGGACGGGGGTGCAGAAGTTCCAGGGCCGGGCATGGCCGTGAGTCCCCGCCCGGTCAGCGTCGCGGCAGGAGGGCCGCCAGGTTTCGGTCCGTCCAGCTGTTTTGTTCACTGAGAACCACGGAGAAGCAAGTCTGTTTAAGACGTGTTGGGCTCAAAAGGCCGTGGTAGACGTACGAGACTGGAACCGGCGATATAAAAATTTAGCAGACTACCAACGGCATTTTAAAAGGCACAGATGAGGACTTACGGGTCAGGCCAAGCTGCAGAAACTCTCTGCTCACTCCGCCCTGACGCACCTGGGACTGGGCCAGGGTCTCACGCAGACCGAAGGGCGCATGCGCACACCTACGCTCCCGGGCGGCCCCTGGGCGGCAGCTCCCCGATTGCGCACGCGTGGTGTGCGGCGGTCGCCATGGAGACGCGTGGCGCCGCGGGGGCGTTTTGCTCCTGCGGGGGCGTTTTGCTCCTGCGGCGGCGGGCTTGGCGGCAGGGGCTGTGGGGCTGTCCCAGGCTCAGGTGGCGGCCCTGAGGGCTGATGGACGGCCGCGGGGGAGTAGGGGCGTCGGGGTTCGCCGAGGAGGCCGTGGACGACGAAGAGGACCGAGAGGGTGGCCCTGCGGGCTCTCACGGAGCCAAACTGCCCCCCATCGCCGGCAACGCCTCAGAAGTGAGCAAACGGAAAGTGAAGAAGAAAAAGAAGAAGAAGACCAAGGGGCCCGGCAAGGGGGACGGTAAGAGGAGCAGCTAGCTCAGCAGCCTCAGCTCCCATACCAGAGTTTCTTCTCCAAGGTCTCTTACTCCCACTCCTCACAAAGAACCCCGTCTACCTGGGGACCACTTCAGACCAAAACCAGAAACTCGCCAATCCCAAACAGAGGTCCTGCCGCTCCCCACACATACCACTTAACACAACACAGTGATGCCCCAGCCCTACCCATAAAAACCGTACGTGTCCACAGAGATCCTCAACATCCGTGGAGACCCTCTACCCCACAGAGATCCCCAACATACCCAGCATTATTCCCGCAGAGCCTCCCAGCTCCACACAGCAACTCAGCTTTGCACAGACATCCTCTCAATGTCCTAATCAGTCCCTCAGCTAAAATTCAGAATCTTAAATAACTACACCTTCCCCACAGCAACTTCAAGCCCCCCTACAGAGATCCTCTCATCTTCACATGGACTTTCCCCAAGCCTAAGATACTAAGACTCTAGTGACAAACATGCACTGAAACACAGGTTTTTGCCTTGTGCCCCATGTGTTAAGGGGCACCTGCCCTCTAGAAGTCCTGTAATGCAGAGAAAGTATCTTTCCTGCAGGGACTGCCTTCTCACACCCTCCCCCCCATTCGCCAGAGCCAGCCTTCAACTGCACACATACCATCACACCAGTCACTGCTGCATACTCTTATAATCCCCAACATCCTCAACAACACCCCCTTATATCATTAGAGCCACCAAATAAAACTAAAGTCAGATACCCCATCAGGCACACACATTCCCAGTCTATGCATACCTATGGGCACTCGGCTACACACTCACATGCATAACCCCCCACTCCCCAATACTTCCTGTACACATACAACCACACACACTCATGTTCCCACTCCAGTCTCTCCCATGGACACCTCACATACATACACATACCTACACCTGCCACAATCCCACAGAGTGCCTATATCTCACCAAGGTCCTCTCCCAGAACCACCCCCCTGCCCCGATTTCTTGACAAAGGTACTGAGCACCCAGTTTATGGAGAGAGAGGACCGTCGGTGACAGAGAATGCACCTCCTTATGAGTGCTGAGTCTCCAGCGTCACTTTTGTGGTCCCCTTCTGAAGCTTTGACTGTTAGGAAAGTGGCTCTCATTGATTCTGGCATGGTGGTCCTGACCTCCAGCATGGGTCCTGACCTTGGTTCACGTTTCTGGGCCCTAGCCTGTGGCATGTAGGGCTGGCACCACTAGCAAGCTGGTGGCAGAAGGAGTGGCAGCCTTCCCCGTGTCATCCTTGTAGTTTGAGAAAGGAAGCAATGGGAAGGTTATAATGACTTCTTCAGGTGGAATCTTAATAAAAATGCAAGGAAAAATTGTGGAGCTGAGATCAAAAGGCCCCATGTGTATCTGCAAAGCCAAACTAGGAAACTTACTGTCTTTTTGGCTTAGTTTCTGACCCTGAAAATTATAGTGGCATGTAATTCATGCTGTCAGCAGGACACACCAAATAGTTCTTGAGGAATAGGAAAGCACAGAAATGTCCAGAGAGGGCTTTTTTATTTTCTTATTTTCTCTTTTTTTTGCAGGGGGAGGGATTTCTGTCTCCCCAAAAGCAGAAGGATGAGCTGATGGAAGAACTACCACTTACAGTATTTCACATGAGTGCCATATAATTCAGCTGGCTTGACATAATATTGCTTTCCACAACCAGGTTTAGGAAGCTTTTCTGTTGTTCTCCATTTCTCCTATCATAAAGAAGTCCAGACTAGGGGTGGAGTCATAGACTCCTCAAACTGCAAGGTACCTTGATGAGATATGGAACATGAATGCCACAGTGGAAAGAACAGGGCATTGGGAGCTGGGCCTGTGTTCGAATCCTGACCCTGCCATTCACTATGTGATACTGTAAGTTAGACTTTTAGAGTCTCAGTTTCCTCACCAGGAAAATAGCGCTGATAGCCTTTATCCAAAGGACCTGTCCTATAGTATGTGCCCAAGAAATTGTTCCTCCTTCCCCAAAAGGACTTGACCCAAAGCACAGAGCCAGTGGTGTATATAAGGCTAGTGGGTTTGGCTATCTGAGCCCAGGTCAGGAGGGGCCTCCACTCCCATAAATCTTCAGGGACTTGGGCATCACCCTTGAGCAGGCTGAGGCTAAAACACTGTTCATCTGCTTAGCAGATAAACATCAGAGTCGAGGCCTGAAGAGTCAGCAGCTGTCCTCATCCTTTCATGACATCTTAAGTCCCGGCAAAGATCATGGCCCAAGGCAAGAGCACAAACAGGACAAGGATGAAACCAAGCCCATCCCCCCTTTCTCCTCCACTGTAAACCTCACCCATTTTGCTGAAATAGAAGAGAGCCTCTCCAACCAGATCAACGAAAGTCTGCGTTGGGATGGAATTCTCGCTGACCCAGAGGCTGAGAAAGAAAGGATTCGCATATATAAACTGAACCGGAGGAAGCGTTACCGGGTTTCGGCCCTCAAGGGCTTCCACCCTGAGCTGTGTGACGTGGAGAACCCGGAGAACTTACCCTACCTGTCAGATAAAGACAGCAGCACCGAGGGCAGGCAGCCCCGACTGAAAGCCGGTCGCCCCAGTCACTTCTTTGAAGGAACCCTCACTCCAAATCTCCTGCACTCTGACTTGGCTGCTGCTCTGCCAGAGTGAAAATCCACTCCTGACACTGACAAGTTTACACTGTATCCTCACTACAAATTTTTGTGTTAAAAAAGAATAATAATAAAAGGAAATCAGACTCTCTGAAGGAAGCAGATGTCTGGTGTGTCAACGAGGTCAGGCTCTCCTTCCACTAGGGCACCATTCGTGGCCCAGGGAAGGCACAGCTCCAGAACATAAGCAATTTAATAGACAAAGTTCTTTCCAACTTTTTTTTCTCAGATAATTTGGTATCTCTTTGTTATTTTTTTTTAAGATTTAATTTATTCATGAGAGACGCAGAGAGAGAGGTAGAGACACAGGCAGAGGGAGAAGCAGGCTCCATGCAGGGACTTGATCTTCGAACTCCAGAACCATGCCCTGAGCCAAAGGCTCAACCACTGAGCTACCCAGGTGCTCCGCTTCTTTGTTATTTAATTTCTCATCACAGATGTCTGTAATCTTACCCTCTAAAAGAGAAAGTGTGTAGAGTATATCAATTCTAAATCTTAAGCTAATTTAATGGATAAAACTCCTCACATAGCATGCTTCTCTAGGCCCAGGGAAAATGCCCCAAATATCTTGGAGGCTTTTTTTTTTTTAATTACATACACTCCCTGCCCTTATGTGGTCTTCAAAATAACTGAGTTCCAGAACTCTATCCCTGGGAGGTAATTATGAGAAGTCGCAAAAGGAATATTGCTTCTCTTCTAAATATGGTCCTCCCAAAGAGCAAATTGGTGGTTGCCAGAAAGGAAGGGGATTGAGGGTGGGGTAACTCGGTGAGGGGCCTCAATTGTGCAGTGATGGATGGTAACCAGACTTGTGGCAGTGATCACTTTGTAGCATGTACAAATATTGAATTGCCATACGCCTGAAGCTTATGTAATGTTACATACCGATTTTACTTAAATTAAAAAATATATGTATGTAAGTCTCCTCTAATCCCCTAAAACAGCATTTTAAACAAAGTTCTGGAACATTTAAAAGGTCCTACTATACTACTTGTCCTAAATTAATATTCATCGCTTGCACAAATATTTATTGAGTGAGGGCCATGTGTTGTGTTAGTATGGGTTCTCCAGAAGCAGTTCCTGAGACAAAGACTCAGATGGAAATAGATTATTTGGGATCTTAAGGGAAACTCAGTAGAGAAGGCACTGGGAGGGAAAGACAGCTAATCCAGGGACACTGTTAAATCAGCTTCCATACTGGGTAAGTGGAGCTTAAATCATGGACAAGGAAACTCTGTGGGGATTATCCTGCCTGAGCCTGAGGGAGCGGGGCTGTCCTACTGCCCGCAGGTATTGGCTGAGGGATGGTCCTGGTGGGTGCTGGTTTCCTGGGGCCTACCTCAGGCACAAAGATACAGACAGAGAGGTCTAAGGAATGGGGTTGTGTAACATGGGGAAGGGACAGACTGAAGGTCTAAAATCAGGTTCCTGCCTTCTAAGGAATTAAAGACCTGCATTGTACTTGGAAGAAGTTGAAAGTCTATACAAAACATTACAGAATGCTCTTTGAAAGTTAGGCAAAAGGGGATCCCTGGGTGGCGCAGCGGTTTGGCGCCTGCCTTTGGCCCAGGGCGCAATCCTGGAGACCCGGGATCAAATCCCAGGTCGGGCTCCCGGTGTATGGAGCCTGCTTCTCCCTCTGCCTATGTCTCTGCCTCTCTCTCTCTCTCACTGTGTGCCTATCATAAATAAATAAAACAAAAAAAAATTAAAAAAAAAAGAGAAAGGCAAAAGTGGTTGTCTTGGTCCCTGCTAGTCCCAGCTGACAGAGCAGCCCTCTTCTCACCTTTCCTTAAATGGCCATTTACAGAGTTTTCATATTTTGGCCATCGTACTGTGGCAAAATATAGGACGGGGACTTTTGGAAGAGCCCTGTCCTCCCCCTGAAAGGAGGTAGCAGCTGAGTCTGACAGGGGCCCTCCGGCAGACAGGAATGGCCCTCTGTCAGGTTGTGCCACTGTCAGGTTGTGGGGCACAGCATCAAGTGAAGAAGAACAAGATCTTTAGTGTGTCCCCATGGGGAGGAGGAGATGGGAGACATGTTAATCCTCAGCCACAGGACCTCACCTGATGCCCCAGGGCTCAAGGTAAAGAGAGCAGAGGGTAAAGCAGCTGGGCTGTACCTCCTGTGCCCTCTGGATCAACCACAGTGGCTGGGAGTGCAGTGCATGGAAGGCCCTGAGGCTTCAGGGTGCCCTGATTGCTTTGCATTCGTGTCTTCCGTGGGTGCTGAGAGTGGGAGTGGCCTGTGGTCACCTTTCCACTATGAGACATTCTGGCATAGTGGTTAAAATTATGAGCTTTGCCATCAGAGCTGAATTTATGCCTTTTCCGCTCTGCGCTAGCTATGTGAACTCAGGCAAATTGGTTAGCCTCTCTGAGCATTAGCTACCACATCTGGATCCAGGGATGCAGATACCTACCTCAGTGCTGTGGGGTTCAAATGCAATACTTATATAAAGCATTTAGCACAGCGCCTCACCCCTAGGGAGCACTTAATTCATTGTAAGAGTTTTGAGCAATGATATTTCAGGTTGGGCTGGCTGCACAGCTGCTAGAGGGACCATCCTGCTGATGGTGTAGAGCTCACCTCATCAAAGGTGAGTTTCACAAAGATGTGGATTCAATGGCTGGCTATCAATAGATATAATTCAAAGAAACCACAAGACAAATTGCTCCAGGGGTCTGGAGCAAGAGGGAATGTAGGAGGAATGAAGCTAGGGTCTCCAAGTCCAGTATTTTTGGGGACTTGGGGCCAAACAAAAAGTGCCTACTTGGACCTGGAACCTTTTTATTACTAAGTGGTATTCCTTTTTTTTTTTTTTTAAGATTTTATTTATTTATTCATGAGACAGAGAGAGAGAGAGAGAGAGAGGCAGAGACACAGGCAGAGGGAGAAGCAGGCTCCATGCAGGGAGCCCGATGCAGGACTCGATCCCAGGTCTCCAGGATCAGGCCCTGGACTGAAGGCGGAGCTAAACCGCTGAGCCACCCGGACTGCCCACTAAGTGGTATTCCATTGTATGAATATACATCACAGATATTTCAGTCCCTTCAACATATGGCTATTGTGAATAAAACTGTCATGAACATACTCATTTTTTGGACCTATGTTTTCATTTCTCTTGGATATCTAGTGGTATTTCATTGTGGTTTTATTGTGCATTTCCCTGATATCTAATGATGTCGAACACCTTTTCATGTGTTTATTTTGCATCCATGTATCTTCTTTGTGAAGTGTCTAGTCGTCTCTTGCCCATTTTTATTTTATATTTTTAAAAACATTTTATGTATTCATGAAAGACACGGAGAAAGAGAGGCAGAGACATAGGTGGAGAGAGAAACAGGCTCCCCAAGCAGGAGCCTGATGCAGTACTCGATCCCGGGATCCTGGGATCATGACCTGAGCTGAAGGCAGATGCTCAACCACTGAGCCACCCAGGCATCCCTTTTATTTTATTTTTTAAAAGATTTTATATATTTGTTTAGAAAGAGTGGGGGAAAGGGCAAAGGAAAAGGGAGAGAGAATCTCAAGCAGACTCTGCACTGAGTACAGAGCCTGACTCAGGGCTCCATTGCAGGACCCTGAGATCATGACCTGAGCCAAAGGCAGACACTTAACAGACTGAGCCACCCTGGTGGCCCCCTCTCACCCATTTTTAATCAGGTTTCTCATCTTTCTTTTTTTTAAAAAAAGGTATTTATTTATTTATCTATTCATTCATGAGAGACACAGAAAAAGAGAGGCAGAGACATAGGCAGAGGGAGAAGCAGTGATATGGGACTTGATCCCAGGACCCTGGGATCACGACCTGAGCCAAAGGCAGACGCTCAACCATTGAGCCACCCAGGTGCCACTAGCTCATTCATTTTATGGGAAATTTATACTATATAATCTAAGTGGCAGTAATCTTGTTGTCATCCCAATGAGCCAAATTAGAGCTAATTTCTGTTAAAAAGAGACTGACTTTAAAAAAATACAAACACACTAATATGCATTCCTGGGATATATTTAAGTTGTAACTCAAAGACTAACAGATAAGACACAGAGCCTTGCCCTAAATTTGACACCTGAATGAAATCGCTTCACTTTTGATATTTCTTATCAACTCTTTTCTTATCAACACTTGCCCAAAAGGACTTTCCTTCAAGGAAGACAATGGTCTGAGATTGAAGAGATTGTAGGTATTAAATGAGTAGTGTTATCACTCCAGCTGCCTCACTTTGAGATATTGGAAGTAAGAACTTCCCAACACAGGCCAACATTCTGCCACCACATTCCATTCTTGACCAAAGTGTGTGTAGGACGCTGATAGACCTGAAGCCCTACAGTGGGGTCCTGGTGCCCTAAAACTGATGTTTTTTTTTCTTTTTAAAATTTTATTTATTTATTCATGATAGAAATAGAGAGAGGCAGAGACACAGGCAGAGGGAGAAGCAGGCTCCATGCCAGGAGCCCAATGTGGGACTCGATCCTGGGACTCCAGGATCAGGCCCTGGGCCAAAGACAGGCCCTGAACCGCTGAGCCACCCAGAGATCCCCAATATTGATATTTCTAACTGTCCCTTTGTCCAGCGCCTATACGTTTTTCCTGCTCAGAGCAATGTCCTACAACAAAATTAAAAATTAAGGATGTGTTAGACTAACACATTATAGTTCTGCAAAATGGGAGAAAGGCAATTCGTAAGGAGAGGTGAGGAGGAAGGATTGGCCCAGTCATAATTTCGGGGCAGATGGGTTTGAGGAAGGAGTACACATTGAATCTGAGAACAAATTCCCTAAAACTATGCCGAGGCATCATCTTGAATTCCACATCAGTATTTTCCTATTAAAATACAATCACATCGGGGTGGCTCGGCAGTTTAGCGCCTGCCTTCAGCCAAGGGCATCATCCTGGAGTCCTGGGATCGAGTCCCACATCGGGCTCCCTGCATGGAGCCTGCTTCTCCCTCTACCTGTGTCTCTGCCTCTCTCTCTGTGTCTCTCATGAATAAATAAATAAAATCTTAAAAAACATACAATGCAATCACATCTTAAAATTTCTCAAGATGAGAAGGTGTTTTTCTCATGTTTCTTCACCAACATATTATAATTTTACTTTAAAAAAGAGAGGCATCTCTAAGTTTTGTTTCTTTAAAGATAATTTATTGTGAAGTGAGAGGAAGTCACAAAGCAAAATGGAATGGGGACAGGTGTCAAAGATAAATTTTAAAAATGTTTTTGTCAAATACTATTCTGGATTTCCTAAGGTTAGAAACAAAAGAATCAAGTGAAAAGGTAATCGTTCTTTTCAAAAGATTTGAATTTGTAAAGAATACAACTTTTCTCTGAAAATACAAATCATCCTTCTTACATAAAACCTATAAGAGACTGGAAAAAAAAAGACTTTAGTAAACTGTATCTCTCAGATATACTTAGGAATGTTTGGTTTTAAGGAGTTTTAAAAATCATGGCTTCCACTTTGTAAATGAACCTAAGTCCAGCAATGATCAACGTCACTCGATCCACCCTGAAGTGTCCCATTATGTCTTCTTATGCTTATGCTTCTTTCCTGTAACTTGCAGCAAAGCAGGTTTGAAGGAAAAGAAAGGATTAGAAGGAACTACAGTTAGTTCCCTAGTAAATAAGATAAAACCTGCTTTTCCATTCACATTACACCTTCACAATTGTTCACTTCTACTTACTTTACTGGTATATTTCAGATTCTCTCCACACCTAGAATGCTTTGTCTGAACTTAATCCAACCCCCAAAACAAAAAACAAAGTCTCACGTGGATATCTCAAAACATGGCTGTGTACAAAGGCCATGTTTTCCCATATATCTCTCCTGTTGTGCTGCCCACAATATTGTTCTGAGCTCATTGAAGTGTTCCCGGTGGGCCAGAATAAAGCCTTGGGAACTCTCTTAACACAATTTAAAAATTACATTTACCACTTGTCTTGAATGAGAAGATTATGAAATCAGAGAGAAAAACCCATTTTTATCAAGAAATGCCACGTAATGGACTCTTCCGGAGGCAGATAGCGTTTGTCACTCTGAGTGATGAAGGTGATCACGGAGTCCCAGAGTGCCCTCTTTACCAGTCCCCGCTGAGCTTTACTACGGCAAACTCAGGACCATGGACCCAACAGCAGGATCCACCCAGAGATGCATCCAAACGAGAGTATGACAGACTAAACACTGTTAAAGCTGAAGAGGACACCAGACGGTTTGGCTCTAGAGGTTTCCAATGACTCTGAATGAGAGCGATGATAATCACTCCTGCTCTCCTCAGAACAAAAGTCCCCACTGTGGCTCCAGGGTACCCACAGAGCTATCGATTCTGCCTTCAGGACACATGGAAGCCATCAAAAGAAACCCAAAAATACAGCGGGAATCCGGGCTTATAAAACTCTACAGCCCTTGAGCACGTGATATAATTTGGACGTATTCAAAGAAAATATTCGCTATTGTTCTTTCCAATATTGGAAGAGAAAAAGCCACCTGCCCCTTGCTTCACTCAAAAACCTCGGGGATTGGCAGGAGGAGGAAATATGGGCTGGTGGGGAGGCAGGGTGAGCAGGGGGCTAAAGCCAGAAACAGTCTGGCCCACCACACCCCCAGCGGCCCTTTCTGCTGCCTTTTTTTTTTTTTTTAAAGATTTTATTTCTTTATTCATGAGAGACACAGAGAGAGGCACAGGCAGAGGGAGACACAGGCTCCATGCAGGGAGCCCAATGCAGGACTTAATCCTGGACCCTGGGATCATGTCCTGAGCCAAAGGCAGCCGCTCAGCCGGTGAGCCCCCCAGGCGCCCCCCTTTCTACTTCTGAGGCCGACTCAGCTGAACTCACAAAGTGTCGTCCATTTGCACCTCACGCCCTGATTGTCACTGCCATTACAGTAAGCACTTACAAGAAATGTGCGTCATCACAACAGCGCCCAGGTGTGGGAGTTGGACTCCTGACAGCAATCTCGAGCCTTTCTTTCACCTGGAGGGACGGGCGGGGCCGTGTTCTGCCTTTGGGCTTAGACTAAAGTCAGGGGCAGGATTCCTCTGCGGTGTTGGCACCATCGAAGTTGATCCAGGGTCCCTGGAGAGGAGACTCATCCAGATGAAACAGATCACCAGAAACATCTCCATCTGCCTCTCTCAGAGGCCATGCAGTCCTGGGTGGCCGGCCCTTCCCACTGGGAGTGAAGCCCCCTCGGGGAGTTCCCAAAAGTGGTTTCCCTAAGCATTCTCTCAAAATGCTGTTTCTCTCCGCTACATTTTGCCTTATGAGAAAAATAGGCAAGTATTTGGAAACTCCAAAATACATCTCAGGAGAGTTACACAAGCCTGTGGAGACATTACCAGATGCCAAGGGTTCAAAGCGCCTTTGCCAGAGCCCACACTCGGAGCCAACCAGGCAAAGGAACCAGAACTGGAGCCATTGCTGTCAAACTGGCCCCTGGTGGACCTGACTCCCCTGAAGAGAGGTGAGAACAGGATGAACCTTTTCATCCTTTCTTTTTTAAAGAGGCATCTTTATTTTATATTGTGGTTTGGGGTTTTTTGATACAAAAAGGGTTTGGAGAATCCCAAGAGTTTTGGTGACATAGGAAGTACAAATGGAAATGGGAATAAACTAGGGAATGGAACTCAGCTCTCCACAGATGGGACCCATCTGGATGTCAGCTCACAGAACCAGCACCGCTGTCAGTGAAGACATCCTGGGCTGAAAGTTCTTAAAACTCACTTTTTCCATCCCGGACACTTTCTCCACACTCTTCCTCGGGCTAACAGGCTGACTGAGCAATGAAACAAGAGCTCTCTCTTCCCTCCCTATTTCAAACTGGACCCATTTTTCTTTTGCTCCAGTTGGCTTTCTATTTGCTCATCGAATTGAGACTTTGGGGGAAGCTGCACAGCAGCAAACTGGAAATATTTTGAAAATAATTTGAACGTTTTAAAAAACCAAATCGTCTCAATGATTGTAAGATGCCATGACATTTTCTCCTTCCCCAGGCCAGGCTTAGAGGTATGGCTAGGTCAGACTCCTCTGGGGCACGAAGGCCATGGAGGGCAGCAGAAGAGCTGGTCCAACCCCACACAGGCTCACGTCAGCACTCATCTGGGAGGCCATCGCTGCCTGGGAGCTCTGTGGCTTCGAGCTCCACGCTGGACAGGAACCTCCTCAGCGTCTTGCGGCAGTTGTAATCCAGGGTGGTCGTGTAGACGGTCTTGGGGTACTTGGGGTAGACGATGGTGGTGCTGAGGAAGCGGGTGGGCTTGTGGCAGGGCTTGAAGTGCACCTCTGCCTTGTAGTTGCGCCAGGTGCAGTTGGGGAGGCAGGTGACAGTGTAACTACAGGAGGCCACTGCCAGGCCCAGGGGCAGGTGGACATCATCAATGAAGTGCCGCTCCGAGTCATACTTGACCGATGAAGTGTACCTGGGCAGGAGACAGAAAGAAGGCAGCACGAAGCTGTTCTCCTGAGCTTGGGGCACAGGAGTCCCTACTGTGATCTTGATCCTGGGGAGGGGGGCAGGTGGGGTGCAAACTTTGAGATGAGGCTACTCTAGTCAGAAGCAGCAAAGATGGGATCCCTGGGTGGCACAGCGGTTTAGCGCCTGCCTTTGACCCAGGGTGCGATCCTGGAGACCCGGGATGGAATCCCACGTCGGGCTCCCTGCATGGAGCCTGCTTCTCCCTCTCTCTATGTCTCTGCCTCTCTCTCTCTCTCTCTCTCTCTCTCTCTGTGTGTGTGTGTGTGTGTGTGTGTGTGACTATCATGAATAAATAAAATATTAAAAGAAAAAAAAGAAGCAGCAAAGATGAAGCGCCTACTGGGTGGTACTGTTCTAAGCACTTTACTTCCAGGATCTAATTTAACTGAATTGACCGCCCTGGGAGAGGAAATGGAGGTGCAGAAGTCAAGGTCACAGTGGCAGTGAGCAGCAGAGCTGGGATATATGTGCAGGTGTGCAAGATCCCCAAGTTTACCCCACACGTACTGTTTCTCCTGGCAGGCAGCAGCCCCTGGTTGTCTTTGTGTGTTTAAAGCTAGGGGAGCCTGCTCAGATTACTTCTCCAAGCCTTGTGTTCTCTTTCTGTGAAAGGTGCCCAGAAATAACCGAGCAGGGTATTAACTCACAGCAAGTGGTATAAGTCAGTGGTAGAACAAGGCGGTTTCTACTGCCTCACTAGGGGTGAATGCTTTATTTTCTCTGTCCCCTGACATTACAATCAGGTTGCTTGCTTGCTTTTTTTTTTTTTTTTAACATAAGCTTTCTGCCCAACATGGGGCTTGAATTCACAGCCCTGAGATCAAGAGTCGCACACTCTACTAACTGAGCCAGCCCATCACCATCAGCTCTTTAATGAGAGGATGACAGAACCCAGGACTTCTGAGAGTTAAGTGATACCAAGTACTAGTATTTGGTCCCCTTTGGCCTTTGGTTTAGAGACCCCTCAAACCAGAGACTGTGACCTTACCTTATCAATCAAAGCCAATGACCATCTTGATTTCTTTTCTTTTTTTTAAATTTATTTACGAGAGAGAGAGAGAGAGAGAGAGAGAGAGAGAGGCAGAGACACAGGCAGAGGAAGAAGCAGGCATCAGAGAGCCTGACGTGGGAATCTATCCAGAGTCTCCAGGATCACGCCCTGGGCTGCAGGCGGCGCTAAACCGGGCTGCAGGTGGTGCTAAACCATCTTGATTTCTTAAAATAAATTAGCATCTATGTTCCCCAGCAGCTACTTTTTTTTTTTTTTTGAGTCCTTTGGTAATTTGGGAGCTAATTTTTTCTGTAATGTAGTTTTGGTAATTTTTAATTTTTTTTGAAAGATTTTATTTATTTATTCATGAGAGACAAAGAGAGAGAGGCAGAGACATAGGCAGAGGGAAAAGCAGGCTCCCTGCAGGGAGCCCAATGTGGGACTCGATCCCAAGACCCCAGGATCACAATCTGAGCCAAAGGCAGACACTCAATTACTGAGCTACCCAGGTGGCCCAAGTGTTATTTTCTATGTAATGTAATTTTTAATGTAATATAATTTTTAATGTAAATAAAGCATTTGCTTATTTTTAAAATTTACTATTGCTAAAATAAATTGACTATTATAACTTCATGGATCCTGAAATATGTATGTGTATCACACAGCACTGCCTCCCCCAGCCCCTACCCACTGGTCAGGGAGTAAGAATTAGCATTCTTTTCAGCGGGTTGGTTGGATGATGGAAACGTCGTCTGTTCTCCTTAAGCAAAAAGGTAAGAAGGCTGGTGGAAACTAATGTCATGAAGTCATGTCCTCATTTTGTTCAAAATACAAGCTCTGCAGGAATAAAAGACTAAACCCCTCACCTCCAAACTGGTGAGCCTCCTTTGTTCCCCATCAAAGGGCCCTTTGTGTTAAGGGAGCTGAAACTCCAGAAAAAAAAAAAAAAAAAAAAAAACCAGCAGCTACCAAAAGTGAAATTCTTTTTCCTGAAGAGACAGATCTTTAACAGAGGCTCTCAGTGGATCCTCAGCCCCCAGGTAATCCTGGAGGAGATAAATTCCCAAAGGAAGAATGGTATGAAACTGTAATATAGGACAAGGCTATAGTGCCTTGAAGCAGGGGTAGGGGCGATGGGGGACCAGTTTCTGGAAAGAGTAATTATTTTGTTACAAAACTGTGAATGTCTGATGGTCATGATGTCCAAAAGCAAAAAGTGCAAAAAGCAAGTCACCAGACTTTACATGACCTTGTTTGTATTTCAACAGGTATATCTATGTATGTAATAAGTTAGAATACACAAAGAAATCCAAAAATAGTATCCAACACACTATGAATAGTCTTTGGCACACTTTTATGATTAACTCATTAAAAAAAAAAAAAAACAAGCATTGGGCACTTGGGTGGCTCAGTGATTGAGTGTCTGCCTTTGGCTCAGGTCATGATTCTGGGGTCCTGAGAGGTAGTTCCGCATTGGGCTCCCTGCATGGAGCCTGCTTATCCCTCTGCCTATGTCTCTGCCTCTCTCTCTGTGTTTCTCATGAATAAATAAAGAAAATCTTTTCAAAATAAAAAAATAAAAAAGTAATAAGCATTAATTTCTGCAATAAAAAATGAAAAATGGAAAGCTCCAGTCAAATCTGTGCCTGCTATATTTACCTTACTTCCGTTGGCGGTAAGGGATCAAACTCCACTCCTTCACCAAAGGACAGAGGGCACAGCCTGGGTGAGCAGGCAAAGGCCAGTGGGCTGGAGAGAGGTGCTGGATTCTGTGAGGATGGAGAAGGCAGTTAGACCACAGGCCAGTCTGACGCATCCCTCAAAGAGGTCCTGGCTCTGAGCTTCCAGCTGACAGGCCCCACTGGGATTTGTGTCCTCTTCCTGGAAATGATGCCAGAGAAGGGCCGCCCCACAGCATGGCGAGAGCTCTGGATGGAGAGCCAAGAGGTCTGGGTCACATCACCTGCCCTGTGACCTTATCTGTACACCAACGGGATGCTCCCTTCCTTCCCTGAGGTCTGTGAAAGGCTAAGGAGCTCAGCATCGTGACCTTGGCAAGACCCTGGGGCCGTGGCACCATCCCACGACAAGGTAGTGAGAAGACCTCAGTGAACGGGGGCTTCACTCACCAGAACCCTCAACCCTATCACTGTCTCGGCAACACTTTTGAAAAGCCAAAAACAAAATTCTTTCAGAAATCTTTTCACACGGAAGGCTCGGGCCAACTTCCCCCGTGCCTCCTCTGCCTCCAGGACCACAGGATTAACACTCTACCAACGTGGAAGATCCATCCACAAACTCACTGGGAGGCTGAACACCAAGAAAGTCTTCCTCACCCCCTGCCCCTGTTCAGCAAAGGAGACAGAGCAGTGTCCCTAGACGTTAACTGGCTTCTGGCCCCGACAAAGCTCCACACTTTCTAATTCGTTGAGCAGCCTGAGCGAAGGCCAGGGCTGTCCAAGACATGGGTGCTCGCTTTCACCCGACGTGGCTGGCATCGGGCATCTGTGTTAAGTGTTCAACGGGGAGCAGCCCTTTGGGTTCCTGGGTTTCCCGGTGATGGGTCATTTTCTTGGCCTCATTCGAGAGAAGGAGCCACTGCGGGGCCAGGATGTGGAATGGCAGCCCCGCCCCCACACCTTCCAGGATGGAGAAGGAAGCAGACAGTCCTAGAAGGTAGGCTCCAAGACTCTCACCCTGCTACCAGGACAGAGCACCAAGTGAGGGCCTAGGGTGGAAATACCAAAGTCAAAGGGGACCAGGGGAGGGGAGGGAGGTGCAGAGGGGCCTCCTAGGGCTCCTGAACCTGGATAGGGGAGGGGCTGTGGCTGGCAAGTGAGGTCAGTAGAAGAGGGGGAGGGGGGAAGGTGTGGGCACTGGCTGCTGGAGAGCTTTTGGAAGCAGCCCCCAAGTAGTGGTGGTGGGCCCTGCTCTGCCCCCAGCCCCCTGGCTACCACACCTTCCACCTAGGGAGCACCTTCGGGCTGTCCTGGTGGCTGCGAGGTGGTGGCAAGAGGGGAGGTGGACAAGTCTCCAACACACACTAAAGCCAGGAATCCACACAAGCACTTGGTTCTCTTGTTGGCTTCCTCATCCCGGCCACCCAACAGACACTCCCTGAGCACACACCTTGGCCCAGGTGCAGGGTGGGGATGGGACAGGCACCTGGGAATTACAACAGACACAGGAACAAGTGCCGGCAGGGAAGGGGGACCCAGCCATGGATTTGAGCATGGCTCTGGGAAGCATCAAGGAAGTCTTCCCAGAGGAGGCTACGAGTTGGGCTTGAAGGGCCAGCAGGGCTCTGATAGGTCAAAACGGCAGCTGTGGGAGGGAATGGGCTGGGGGTGGGGGAGGCATGCCAGGGAGAGGAGAGGATAGGAGGCACCGACTAAGAACCTGCCTGTGGTCAGGGCGCCCGAGGCTAGCAGGGCCAGGCAGCAAGGGTTCTGAAGGCCAAGTTGAAGCAAGTGCCGCCTTCCAAAGAGAAAAGACCCCGAGCCTCAGCCGGGGCCAGTGGGTCGAGACTTCCACGCCCATCAAAGGGCCCGGGTCTTAAAGGAACAGCAGCTGCCACCCACTACTTCACCCCAGGGGAGAGGGCTGGAAATAGCCATCCCCAAGGGGGAGCAAAGGGGCCTGAGAGCCCCACTTTGAACCTTGGCTGTAGACAGGATGTGGCTTCCCCTGAGCTCTAGGTAAAGGCAATAAACGCCCCCACCTGAGCGGTTCCTAGGGGCAGAAAAGACGAGGCGTTTTTCCTTTAAATAAAAATTTTGAAGTAACATAAAAGGATTCCTTTTTGAAAGGTTCCACTCAGCTAAAGCCCTCTCACCCACCAAGCGCCACACACGGGCTAGGTGACAGGACAAGGGGGGCCACCGGGAGGCGGGAGGCTCACGCGGTAAGGTCCCCCTCCACACCTCCAACCTGGTGCCCACAGGCAGGCCCCACCTGCTGTCGGGATCAGGGAGCTGAAGCACACACACCCTTCTCCCCAAGACCGGCCACGAGGGGCAGGTCCTTCCTTGGGAGGCGCCACCGCTGGGGGCACAGCCCGGGCGCCAGGCCCGCAGCCGCAGAAGGCTGCGCCTCCCCTCGCTGTGGCCGGCCCCGCGGGAGTGTGGCCGCGCCGCAGCCTGGCAGCCGCGGGGGCCGCCACCCCAAGGGGAGGAGGCGGCGGCTCGCCTCCCCGGGCTCCCGCGCCTCCCAGGCGATGACAACTTTCCAGCCGCCGCCTCCAGCTGGCCAGGCTCTCGCCGCGCCCCCGCCCCGGGCGCCCCGCGGTGGCCAAGCCGTCCCGACGCGAAGGTGGCGGCGCCCGCAGCCGCGGTGGTCCCCGGGGAGCCGGCTGCGGGGGGGGGGGGGGGAGGGAAGGGGCCCGAGCGGGGCCACTCACCGGGGCCGCGGGGCTCGCCGCCGCGTCGGGCTCCAGCGTCCCGGGGGCCGCCGAGTGCTCCCCGCCTCCCCCGGCCGCCGCGAGCCCCCAGTGGCTGGGGCTGGGGCTGGGGGGCAGCCCCGAATCCGGACTGTCCAGGACGCCGTCGCCCTTCTTCTTCGTGTCCACGAGCTCGGGCACATCCTGCAGGCTCAGCCGGCCCACCATGGCGGGGGCGCGCCGGGGGCCGCCGGGACCGGGGGCGCGAGGGGCGCACACGCGGGCTGGGGCCGCTGCCCGCCCCGCCGCCCTCCCTGCCGGCTGCCGGCTGCCGCCTGCCGTCGGGGTCTCGCGGGCCGCAGCGCTCCGGGCCCCGCCCTCCGCCCTCCGCCCCGCCCGCCGGGACCCGCCCGCCGGGACCCACCCGCACTGGTCGAGCGGCGAGGCCCGGCGCCAGGGGCCGCTGCGCTCCCTTCCTGCGCGCCCGCACTGCGCTCGGCGCCGCCACCCTGCCCGCCCCGCCCGCCCGCCCTGGCGGCGCGGAGCTGCGGGTCCCCGCGCGCTGGGGCGGCTCCTCTGCGGAAGGTCGCGCGCCCCGGCCCCGCCGCCCTGCGCCCTGCGCCCTGCGCCCTGCGCCCTGCTACAGGTGCCCGCGGGATCCTGCTCGCCCCACGCTCCGGGCGGCGCCTTGTCCCCTGGCCCCGGCTCCGCAGAGCCCGGCGGGCGCCAGTGCGGCCCCGGCAGCCCGAGCTGAGCCTCGGCCTGAGGAGGCCTGGGGAGCCGGCCGAACCCAGCGAGCAAACAACTGGAAATTATTAATAGTTAACGCGCGCCGTATGGCTCCGACCGCTTCTTGGCTCAGCAGAGGGGGCTCTCAGAGCGTCCCCGGCTTTCGTTGCTGCCGAGAGGAAAGGAGGACCTACTCGGAGTATCCTCGGGGACTCCAGGGGGCGGGGAGAGGGGACGCAGCACTCCCTGGTCCGGCCGCTCTGCTCCCACGCTGTGACCACCCCAGACAGGGAAATTCTGCAGAGTGGGACCTCCAACTACAGGGACAAGCTCAGGAGGCTGCCCGTGGGCTGTCTAATGGGCCAGGCGCTCCCTGGTGGGGGGCCATAGTTTTTCATTCATGGGAGTTCCTTTCTAAGAACCACACTGGGGGGTTGCTGCCTTCTTTAGTTGGACAGACAGGCCCTGTCTCCGTGGGAACTCGGTTCAGTACCTGTCAGCTGCAGAACAGAACTGGGCTACCCTCAAACCTAGTACTTTTGCTCATGGAGACCTCCCTGTATTGGAAGTATTGGAAGCTCTCACCCCCACCAGCCACCATCTTCCAGGAGTTTCTGATGGGTGTTTAGCCGGATAGGAGTTGTGCCCTGGCTGGATGAGACGGAGGCTCTGTGCATGCCCCACAATGGCAGCCTAGTCTACATCCTGGCAAAAACAAAGGCTGCTTGTCTTGCTTGGGACCTGTTAAAGTCAGAATTTAGAGTAGGTAGATGTTACAGGTCTCCTGGCAAAGTTCAGCCCTCCTACCTTCTTCATCATTTTGAAGTAACAGAAAAGGAACTTGACTTGGTCCGAGTCACATAGCTGGTGCAAACTGCCTTCACTGGAAAATAAAACCTGGCACATGCCTGTGTACTGGGAAGTTGCTTGTTTATTTAAGGCTTGTGGGAATAGATTATAAAATCAACAGCATCAGTGGTTAGTGCAAGGATGTACTGTAAGCAGTGGGCCTTAGAGGTTGGGCCAAGTATATGGCTACACCTTCCTACCCATGCTGATCCCACCATCTGCACATCCCAGGCTGCTTTCGATATGGGGCATCATGGGAGGAATGGCAGTGCTTCTTGGGGTTGTGAAAAGGGTGGTCTGTTGGCAGTGGGAGGACTCGGCTCCCTGGGGGGAATTCACCACCACCACCACCCCACCCCCCAGCATTCCCAGGTAGATCCTAAGAACCCTTCAGGTAGAGATTAGGCAGGGCTTTCTGAACCCAGAGGACATCCTTAGGCCTTGCCCAGGACAACTGCCAAGGAGTTCCTGAAGCTAATGGCCCCCCATGCTTCCTTCCCCACAGAGGAAACTGGCCTTGATACACACACAGAAGAAACTGCAGAGGCTTGAAGAGGAACCTAACCCCAGCTCTGCACACTGACAGAGAGGCACAGTTAGAGACCACGGTCTCATAAGATTCCTCTGAAACAGGTGCCCCCTTTCCCAATAAGCCGCACCAAACTGGGATCCTCCCCTGGCTCCCAGCCAATCAAAAGCCAAAAATGAGGGGGGACCCCAGGTTTGTAACCTCTTGTCAGACTGTCTTTGAAGAGCTCGAAGATAAATCCGAGCTGACTGGAAGCCATACGAGGACCAAGAAGAAAGTGGGGGACATCCTGCCTGAGCCACCTCTCCGTCAACTCATGGCATTTCTGGTGGAGATGAGCAGAGGAGTTCTTCCAACAGAAATTACCCAACTTCTACTTGTCCATGTGTCCTTCTGGGTGGGAGGGCAGGGGGACTTCCTTTGTCACCACAAGGGAGCTGTGCAGCTCAGCCTAGAAGTCAGCTGTATTTGCTGGGCTCTGAGCAGTGAGTTCATACTGTAAATCTACAGTAGTACTTTGGAAGAGCCCTGTTGCCTATGCTCATCGTTGTCCTACATCTTATTCCAGATTGCTTTCCAAATGATGCTTCTTTAAAAATCTTTAACTAGGGGGATCCCTGGGGGGCTCAGTGGTTTAGAGCCTGCCTTTGCCCCTAGGGCGTGATCCTGGAGTCCCAGAATCAAGTCCCCCATCGGGCTCCCTGCATGGAACCTGCTTCTCCCTCTGCCTGTGTCTCTGCCTCTCTCTCTCTCTCTGTGTCTCTCATGAATAAATAAATAAAATCTTAAAAAAAAAAAAAACTTTAACTAGAGCTGGGGAGGGACAATGGATCCCACTTTTACTCACTTCTGTCCCAGCTTTGAAGACAGGCCTTCTTTTGAGGAGTAGCTGGGGCACACCTAGAAATCCGGGGTGAGCTACACAAAACAACACCACAGAGCCTGCTTCAGAGGAGCCACTTCTCAAAGCTGTCCTTTCAGAGCACACCAGGGCCATGGTCCCCCTGCCTGGATCACAGAGACTGATGTCCTCATAGGACTTGGCTTCTGGCCTGAGGTCTTTCTCAGCAGGGTCTGAGGAACAAAAGATGCCTAACAATGATGCCAGTACTGCATTTTCCCTTTTTCTGCACTAAATGAAGCTGATGCCTGAATCGAGTGGAGTCAGATGAGAACAGGGCAGGACCCCTCCCCACACTGCCACTGCTTATTGTTTTGGAACAGTTTGTCTTCAGTAAACCCAGCCAGACAGTGGATTAAAAACACGGCTGGCTCCAGCATGCTGGCTTGCACCCCATGCCCCGTGGCACCTTGTTGTCCCAGCCACTTGGGTCCTGGTGTTCTGGAATTCCTGATGCTGTGGATTTGCCTTACTATTGAATTCAGTCCTCCCTTCCCTTCATATGCCTCCATATCAAGCAAAATGCTCCTAAACACACACACACACACACACACACACACACACACACACACACACACACCTTTATTTATTTCCATAAGTATTTCAGGATTAAGATGATAGTTTTCAAAGAACATTAAAAGTGACCTGCTGGGGCGCTGGGTGGCTCAGCCGTTAAGCATCTGTCTTCCACTCAGGTCACAATCCCGGGGCCCTGAGATCGAGTTCCGCATTGGGCTCCCCGCTCAGCGGGGAGTCTGTTTCTCCCTCCGCCTCTGTTGTTCCCCCCACTTGTACTCTCTGGTTCTCTATGTCCAATAAATAAAGTCTTAAAAAAAAAAGTGACCTGCCATATTCAATAAAAAAAAAAAAAAAAAAAAGGAACTGAATGAAAAAGAGACACATGGAAACAACACACTCCCAGGAGTGTATGCACCTACATTGTGAGGTCAGTTTAGAGCCCCAAGCCCCCGGGCACTCACAAAGGTACATCAGCCAGACAGAGCCGGGGGCTACCAAAGTTCTGGCTTAGCAATTTTAGAGTGAAGTGGGCCCAGGGGCACAGGTCAGCTCCTCTTCTGACCTTTCCCCTGGGAGACCACCAAGTCAGGTGGGAAGATTTCCTGCCCAGCCCAGCTGGTGACACTAACCTAGTAAATGAATGCAGCTTGGGGTGGATTCAGGTGTCTCCCCTTGTGGACAGCCCTGTGACCCCAGATACAGACCCTCTCCTCCAGGGCTCCTATTTGTTAGCTTAGAGGCCTGCTCCCCAAAGCTCCCTGGTTACACAGAAAAGGGCCATGGCCTCTGCAAAATAAAACCCAGATGGGATTTTGCAAAGAGCTGGGGCACATGGCCTCCTTGGAACTGCATCAATACACTTGCACTCCTGGCATTGGTCTGCATATTCACACTGGACAAGGACTTGCAGCCCAGAAAAATAGCCCTGAGTTGAGCAATTGAAGTTAAGACCCTTGGCTCCTTGGCTGAAAGGTATGATAGATGGGTGTGCTGTCACTGTCCCTGGGGAAAAGACGGCTGGTCTGTGCCATCACTCTCCAAGGGCAGCCCTGCTGGGGTGTTCTGGGACCACCCAGGGATTCAGGGCTGCCTCGGCCCTGTGAGTGGGCCGAAGAGATAGTGAGTGGGAGCCAGTGGAGGTGGCCAATTGGGTCCACAGTGATGGGCTCACCCATGGTGTCCTTCCCAGGAGCCAGAGCTCCTAAGCGCATTCCTCTCCTCCCCCAAATGCAAAGCAGAGTACGCACAGGCAGGAGGCGGCTGTGGTTTGCAGCTATGTACAACTGGGAGCCCTTGATGCTTGCTGAAGACCTTTATGTGCCTTTGAAGAAATGTTTTTCAGTTTTGAGTCTTTGCTGAAAATTAGCCAGGGGTGGGGGAAGAACATGGGGTGAGAGGAGAGGTATGAAAGAAAAAAACTGTCTTGTATTTCCCCAGGTCATATCACTGGAGTGGGGGAGGGGACACTAGAATTTTATTGCCTCTTGCCCTGCACTTTTGCAGGATGACTTCAACCACTGACAAGTATTTCTAGAAACTCTGAAGGTGTCTCTCATAGGCTCATGAATAAAGCTGGTCATAGACATGGGATGCCTGCTATCAGTTTGCCTTTTCCTGCCCCCACCACCTCTGCGCTGGTTCTGCTATGCTGCATGACAGTGTCCCACCCTGGCCCCCCAGGGAAGGCTGCCCTTGCTGAGATCACCATCAGCTCCACTAGGCACCTGAGAGAGGTCACAGCCATGCTGCTGTGGGTACTGTTCCTTTGCCCCTTACCAGGCACTACCCAAAGCCCTGGGTGCTGCTGCTAA